TTTTATTATAGGGTCAAATGGATGAGGCAGAGCTGCCTGTCTTTTATTATAGGGTCAAATGGATGAGGCAGAGCTGCCTGCCTTTTATTATAGGGTCATATGGATGAGGCAGAGCTGCCTGCCTTTTATTATAGGGTCAAATGGATGAGGCAGAGCTGCCTGCCTTTTATTATAGGGTCAAATGGATGAGGCAGAGCTGCCTGCCTTTTATTATAGGGTCAAATGGATGAGGCAGAGCTGCCTGCCTTTTATTATAGGGTCAAATGAATGAGGCAGAGCTGCCAGTTTTTTATTATAGGGTCAAATGGATGAGGCAGAGCTGCCTGCCTTTTATTATAGGGTCAAATGAATGAGGCAGAGCTGCCAGTTTTTATTATAGGGTCAAATGAATGAGGAAGAGCTGCCAGTTTTTTATTATAGGGTCAAATGAACAAGGTGAAACTGCCTGTTTTTATTATAGGGTCAAATGAACAAGGTGAAACTGCCTGTTTTTATTATAGGGTCAAATGAACAAGGTGAAACTGCCTGTTTTTTATTATAGGATAAAATGAACAAGGTGAAACTACCTGTTTTTATTATAGGGTAAAATGAACAAGGTGAAACTGCCTGTTTTTTGTTATAGGGTAAAATGAACAAGGTGAAACTACCTGTTTTTTATTATAGGGTAAAATAAACAAGGCGAAACTGTCTGTTTTTTATTATGTGATAAAATGAACAAAGAGGAACTGTTCAAACTTGCATATTTTCACAAATGGAAGAGTTATTGGATTAAGAACATTATTAGCTTATTTTATCAAAATGTAAGGTTGGTTGTAAATCTTCATATTTCTATATTTCATTTTATTGTATTAATTAGTTTAATGTTTTATTTTTGAGTTTGAAAGAAATGTGACTGTAATAACTACAGAAAGTACACAGGGCAATGCCTAAAAATAATTAACTATCATATATATATAATCAAAACCATAAGTTTTCCTGCATGACTAGGAATTGTTAAAGACTGATTTTTGTAATGTTTTCCTTATTACAAAAGAAATGTGTTATTCTTTATCTATGTAACCTCATTATTTTGTATCTGCTTAGGATTATAAGTTTTATTAAGAACATGTGGGCTTGCATGTACTTTTTAAACACGTAAGCATTATTTGTTTTTGTATAAAATGAGTTAACTAATATTTCCATTCACAGTATCTTCAAACATAGTCCTTATATAATTTATTACCAATTTATTGTCTTTATAGTCTGATTTATGTGTATTTATTTAAACATGGGAATGCTGAAAATGCTATTTGTATTTATTAACATTGAAAGTTTATTTATATGTTTTTACTTGCTTTTAACACATTTGTTGCCATGTGCCTCATTGGTGGGTCACAACCAACTTTTAGTTATGGACTGCATGACACACTGGTGGAGTCACAACCAACTTTTAGTTATGGACTGCATGACACACTGGTGGGTCACAACCAACTTTTAGTTATGGACTGCATGACACACTGGTGAGTCACAACCAACTTTTAGTAATGGACTGAACGACACACTGGTGGGTCACAATCAACTTTTAGTTATGGACTGCATGACACACTGGTGGGTCATAACCAACTTTTAATTATGGACTGCATGACACACTGGTGGATCACAACCAACTTTTAGTTATGGACTGCATGACACACTGGTGGGTCACAGAGAACTATTTCAAACCCAGATTTCCCTTTGGGCATATGAGTTTGGATCACTGTGATTGCTCCTTGACACCTCTTGGATGTTTAATTTTATTTATACTTAATTTATTATGTAGCAGTGAATGTGTTAAACCATGTAACATGTTCTATACTTTTGTGCTACAAACACAGACATTTAGTGATAAACCCACCAGACACACCTGATACATTTCATCTTTTTATTTTAAGAACATTTGATACTATTTGTATTACTCTGGTGGGAAAGTGTAGTTTAGTTTACCGTGGCAGTTATTTCAATTTAAAACTTTTAACCTTAGGCCAAATTAACTTTAAATAATCAATTTCGACCAAGGATCAAAAGCAATTGGGGGGGTGTCCAGAAACATTATCTCTTCACCCCGCACTATATGTATCATGAAAAAAAAATCATGGTGGATTTTTAATCTTGCTAGGAAGACGTGGGTTATGGACTTAAATGCTAAAATCTGGGGTTCAGTTCCTTGCAGCAGATAGCCCAATGGTGCTTTGCTCTAAAACAAGCAATCTATAACAAATATTACTCTTTTTAACTTAACTGTATTAACAAGTATATGTAAAAACCAGCATGAAAAGATTTTTACTTGAACTGTGTAGAAGAGAACTTGTCTTATAATGAAAATATGTTATATTAAGTTTGATACGTGACAGAAGTGATTGTAGATTATAAACCACATGATGTTGTTGTGTTTTAACTTACTGGAATAGTCAGTAGGATTATTATATAAGGTTTCAGAAATCTCTCGTACGTAGTTCTCAATTCCAATAACTATTGCTGGAAATCTCAACTGGTGAAGAATAATTTCTCACAAGTGTCATGTATCGTTTCTCACAAATTTTGTAATGCTCACTGCTTTGTAAATATTTCAGGTTTGCCTGTGGGTCTGTCTAGTAAAGGTGCTGGAATCAAATGTGAAATAAAACAGGAGGTTTATCAGATTCCAGGCTTCCAGCAACTTCAGTGGTTCTTACAAGAATGGGCTACTGTTCCAGATATTTACTTGCCGCTATTAACGATCATGATGGGACTACCCGAACAGAAAATTAAGACACAGTCTCAGGTATCCAGTTGACTATCAGTAAAAGCTTGCCATGGATAGTTTGATAATATTTCCGAAGAATTTAACTGTGCTTAAAATTGACTGTCCTTGTTGATAGCCAATACACGTAAAAGAGTCGTCAACAACTGAAGCATTAATTTTCCATGTACTTTTCAGATATGAGACCTTGTTTTGTAAGGTATATGACTAAAGTCAATAGAAGAAATGGGTCTCATCGAATAATGAAATTACATAATTATTGTTCATGAAAGTTGATAATATAAAGAGCATCTCAAACACTACTGTATCTGTAATATCTAAGCTGGCCAGATGAGTCCTGGTATTGGGTGGAAAGCCTTGTTGACACTGGTTATAGCAGACATAGTATGGTTGACATTATTGTTATATATTCTTCTTTACTGTTACTCTTTAGTTTTTATGAATACTCATTTAATAGTACCAGAATTGTTTCTATTTAGGTAGTTTAGAAGAAATAGGATAAAAAAAGGTAAATATATTTTTTGCTGACTGATAACAGTATTAAAATTTTGAATAGGTCAAAGTGCTCATGTCACAACTCTTTACAGAGTTACATTCAAAACACAGTTAAACTACTTTATTATCAATGTCTACGAATAAACTTGCCATCAAAATATTGTTAATAAATCAAATTTTAATATTGTATAAATTTTATGTTTTTAATTTTATAAAGAAATATTTTAAAAAATACTCAATCTCTCCTAGTATGCGAAGTGTGATATTTGTTCAAAAGATCTTCTCTCTCTTCTCTAATTTATTTATCACCCCTCTCTGAAATATGATATTTTACATAAACTACTCATTATAATATAGATATTACTAAGACAAAGTCTAATTTTTATAGGCTTCAATCTTATTTGTTTATGGAGTCATAAACTAGAAAATTGGACCCACTTCCCACACCCACCTGTTACATCCCCTTTTACAAGTTGCCAATAATTCTCTGAAATTTTATACTGTGTCATTTATAATCAATAGAAAGGCAAAGCGTTAATCTATCGAATGATGTATAATGTTACGTTCTTTTGATTGGGGAGTATTCTTAATTTTGTCTTCAGTTTAAAAGTTTTTCTTATGGTATTCAGATTGAGCAGCTAAGGGAATTATTTTAAACCCTTCTTGTTTTTGTTAGAAAGGCAGTTAAATTATAATAGTTATAGGACATTTTTCGTTTTGTGTGTTATTATTCTGTGTTTTTAAGTGCATTATTTAAGTAAATGAAAAATATTTAGTGTACTAGAACGATCATTATAAGAAAAAAAGTAGGCTTAAATTTCATCGTCAACCAACAGCAAAAATAACAAAAGATCAAATGTAATTACTATATATCTTGTTTTTCATCTACATTTTTTAATTATTTTTATAAAAGTGACTTAAAATGTAAAAATAAAAAAATTATTAGGTTAGATTAGGTAAGATAATGACAAATGCTATTAATTATAAAAGTTCTTTACGAGGTATGCTTGTGAGCAGCTCATTTTGGTCAGTGACTTTGAAACTGGTTAAGAATGGCAAAACCACTTCAGTTTCTGTTTATCTAATGGTCTGAAATATTTAAATGAGTTTAAAATATGCTTATACATATGGTGCTTTATCATTGAAGAAATTTATTTATTTTCTTAGTTAACATTAGACACTATCTGGGCAACTTTGTTTGGAGACCAAGGATGTGGTAAAAAAGACATCTGTCTTGACACAGCTGTTGTTATTCTTGTTCTTCTCAGGTCACTCTTAAATCAGGTTTGTGTTGTTTTGTGAGTTGTTCAACTAGTAGTTTCTTGAAAAATTGTAACACAAAGTACAATCTTCCATATATGTTATTATATTTAACTAGTCACTTTGGTTATCAAAATACTGAAACCATGTGACCTGACTGCTAGATATTTTTTTCTGACATTATTTGTTTCTATCGAAAGTTTCTTAAAAGGTTAAGTTGAATAATATATTCTGTTTTTTGTCAAGAATAGTTCAAATTTTTCATAGGTAAATTAATTCTATAGGATCTTATTTATTATCAACCAAAATACAGAGTTGTTTTTCCAATTCATTAGTTGTAAAGAAAGTATATGATGTATCATATTAATGTATTTTTTTGTAATTATTCACATCATCCACAAAATAGGCTATGATATAATTGACTCGACTAATTTTTTGTGTCCCTTTTTTTTTCCCCTAAACATTAATTGTACTAAATTACATTTGTAGAGTTTAAGATCTACATGTAGCTTCATAACCTTATGCTTCATGTGACAGGTGTCATTAGTTCCAGGATTTGTCACAGGATTCATCTTTCAGGTTAACCTCATGAAGTCTTTTTCTTGTAGTTTTCAACTGTTTTTATTGATTATTGTAGGTGTATTCTGGAAAGAAGTTTTCCAGTAACAGATGCAGGCAGTATGATCCATTGGAAAGGGGAACTTTCCTTGTAACTTACAAATATATCTATTGAAAGAAATCTATTTTTCTGACATTTAATTATAGAATCTTTTAATTTTTTTATTCTTCCATCATTATCATGTAGATGTTGATTGAATACAGTGGTTTAAAATTAATATGGTCTATGTAAATGTAATATATACATAAAACTATTTTGTGGTCTGCAGATCCAGAGTCCATCAGTAGAGAAGCTATCAACATACGATTATCCAGTTACTCTTATACAGTTCCTGATGTATCTTTACCACAATCGACAAGATTTTATGTACAAGTGTATGAAGCACAAATTTCTAAGCGCTCTCGTGAGCACCATCTTTCCATGGCCTCCAGAAGACTTGGAATGTTTGAGTGATACAACTTCTCCTTTAGATGAAAAACGGGTATTGTTAAGTTTTTTTCAAGGTGGAATTTTGTACATTTTTGATTCCTGTTTCAGTCAGTTATTGCTGATTTTGTATTTATATAGGATATTTAAAATTGAATGTTTTGTTACGATATGAAATAATATAACTTCATTATACTTTGGCTGTCAGTTCTCTGCTAATATTTGTAATTCCTCTATTTTTGAACCAAAAGTAACTTCCAGTCCATACATATGCTTCTTATATATA